GGCGAAGGTTCACCTTCCAACAGGACAACGACCCTAAGCACACAGCCAAGACAATGCAGGAGTGGCTTCTGGACAAGTCTCTGAATGTCCTTGAGTGGCCCGGACTTGAACCCGATCGAACATCTCTGGAGAGACCTGAAAATAGCTGTGCAGCGACGCATCCCATCCAACCTGACAGAGCTTGAGAGGATCTGCAGAGAATAATGGGAGAAATGGGAGAAACTCCCCCAAATACAGGTGTGACAAGCTTGTAGTGTCATACCCAAGAAGACTTGAGTCTGTAATCGCTGCCAAAGGTGCTTCAACAAAGTACTGAGTAAAGGGTCTGAATACTAATACAAATGTGATATTTCCGTTTTTTATTTTTAATACATTTGCAAAAATTTCTAAAAAACAGTTTTTGCTTTGTCATTATGGGGTATTGTGTGAAGATTGATGAGGGAGAAAAAAGTCAAGGGGTCTGAATACTTTCCGAATGCACTGTACCATATGACTTTATGAAAAGCCATCTGTCCATAGGGTCTTGAAGTGTGAGTACTTTCTCTATAGTCATTATGGATATTGTCTGAGCCTGCTGGCCATTAATACTGGTATTGCCCTTTCCTTATTGAAATGGTGAATAAAGTAAAACTATGCTTTCATTTTCTGTATCTCTGTATTACAGAAAATCAAATAAAGATTTGTGCAAACTGGAAGTGTAACTTCTTTCCAATGATTTCCATACCAATGCTAGATGAGGCTGAATGGCAACAACACCACACACAACTGCAATGCAACTAATTCATCTCATTGGTACATGACTGTCTGTTGAATATTTAATCAATGAAAGTATGGATTTCTTGGCTGAATGAAGGTTTTATTAAACCTTCAAAAAGGACACACACCTACACAATAAAGGGCATTTATCAAATGAAGTCATTGACAGGAAAAGTAATTTACTACATCAATTATAGTCAGCCTCTCCCCTTCGTTTGCTTAACTGGGGGAATGGGATGGAGAAATGGTTTACAATAGGCAGGGTGGGGCTCATGGCTACATAGAGCCATGACTACATGGAACTCTATTCCACATCAAGTAAGTCATGCAAGCAGTAAATCAGATTTAAAAAAATATATATACACCTTATGGAACAGCGGAGACTGTGAAGCACAAACATAGGCACAGACACATGCATACACACAAGATAACATACACATGGATTTTGTGTTGTAGCTATATGGTAGTAGAGTAGCGGCCTGAGGGCACACACTTAAAGGAAAATTCCACCCAAAAACTATATTTTGGTATTTGTTTCATTAGTCTATTGTTGACATAGTCCCACAATGTTTTGATTGTCAGCCATCAAGATATGCAACTTTCAAAATACAGAAATATGAAATGTAATGTTTTTCATTGGGGATTGATAATAAATACAAATACAACAGGCAATGCATCCAAAAGGGCACCCTATTCCCTGTAACCTTTCTCTGTATAATGCACTACTTTTGACCAGAGCCCTGGTCAGATGACTTTTCATAAAGACATCATGGTAAGTAATGGAACGCATGTTTCTGTCTGTGTGGGTCAGTGACTTGAGGGGGAGAAAGAGCCAGTGGAGGCAGCAACAGTCTAGTAGGGGTCCAAGAGCCTCAGGCCACACCTGTTTGACTTCGCTGTGATACTGTAGGCCTGCTTATGTTACTTTTCTGAGTCAATTCAGGTAGCATTAAATGTCCTGTATTATTTCAATCTCTATATGTCACCATTTATTTCAATCTGGTCACAAGATAATAAGGATAAATGTGGTAAACAGCGCCACACTTAGGCAGAAAACTGAATGTTCTATTCTCAGTCAGGCCCATCTTTTCAAAGAGAACACAATTGAATTGTATCTCTATTTGAGCAAAATAAGTAGTTTTGTCGTGATCACAAGAAAATCCCAATAATTCAGGTAAAGAGCCCCAATAATATGGGTAGTAATCGATGCCCCCACTGGTATGTTCTATTGCGAACTGTCTGGGACTCGTTGTTGTTTCCCTGTTTACTACTCAAATATATTTTACATATTAAGTCAAAGACAAAATTAACTGCAATACACTGGTCTCAAATACTTTAGCAAAACTATGCTACACAGAACCATCTTCTTCTTCGATGAGGTTTAACAGCGGTTGGCAGCCAATAAATGTTGCATTACCGCCACCTACTAGACTTGGCGTACATCTCCTTTATACTTGGCTTGAAAAATAATAAATAAATACAAAAAATCTAATTTTATTTGCCACATGCGACGAATACAACAGGTGTAGACCTTACAGTGAAATGCTTACTTACAAGCCCTTAACCGACAATGCAGTTTTAAGAAATGAAAAAAAAAGTGTTAAGTAAAAAATAGATAAGTAAAAAATAAAAAGAGCAAATAATTAAAGAGCAGCAGTAAAATAAAATAACAGTAGGGAGGCTATATACAGGGGGTACCGGTACAGTCAATGTGCGGGGGCACCGGTTAGTCGAGGTAATTTAGGTAATATGTACATGTGGGTGACTATGCATAGATAATAAACAGAGTAGCAGCAGCTTAAAAGAGGGGGTGGGGTGGTGGTGGGGGGCTCAATGCAAATGGTCTGGGTAGCCATGATTAGCTGTTCAGGAGTCTTATGGCTTGGAGGTAGAAGCTGTTAAGAAGCCTTTTGGACCTAGACTTGGCGCTCCGGTACCGCTTGCTGTGCGGTAGCCGCCTGGTATAGAGGTCCTAGATGGCAGGATGCTTGGCCCCAGTGATGTACTGGGCTGTACGCATTACCCTCTGTACATTTTAAAATGTTTAGTCATTTATTGTTTAGTCTTATTCAGAGCGACTTACAGTTAGTGAGTGCATACATTATTTGTTTTTTTTTCATACTGGCCCCCCATAGGAATCGAACCTGCAAACGCCATGCTCTACCAACTGAGCTACATCCCTGCCGGCCATTCCCCCCCCCTACCCTGGACAACCCTGGGCCAATTGTGCGCCATGGGTGTCACGGCCGGTTACGACAGAGCCTGTATTCGAACCAGGACTCGGGAGAACTCTGTAGTGCCTTGCGGTCGGAGGCTGAGCAGTTGCCATACCAGGCGGAAAAGTGGTGCATGCATATGTATTCACCCCCAAGTTTTCTGTTTTTTTGTCTTATTTGTTGTTTGTTTCACAATAACAAATATTTTGCATCTTCAAAGTGGCAGACATGTTGTGTAAATCAAATGATACAAACCAGGCAACAAAATAGGAAAAATGCCAAGGGGGGTGAATACTTTTGCAAGCCACTGTACTTTCCCCAATGCTACACATTCCTTTGTCTCATGCCCTTCTGCACACTTCTCACACCTAGGAACCTCCTTTCTACACACTGCTGCCTCATTCCCATAAGTTTGACACCTGTAACATCGTAATGTATTCGGCACTTAAGCTCGTACAGGATAACTTATATACCCTAACTTCACTTTATCAGGCAAAGACTCAACTTCAAAACTCACAAGAACAGACAATGACTCCTCTGTTTCCCCACTCTCGCCCCCCTGTTTGCGTCGCACTAAACGACGAGCATCAAACACATCGGGAATCTTCACCTTCAGTTGGTCAACTTTTACATTTACTGCTACCCCAGTAATCACTCCTTTCAATGGCGCCCTTTTCTTGAGAGCGAAACAATTCACCATTCTTTCCCCCATTTGTCTAAATCTGAGCGCCTTCTCCCTCTGACCAACAGAAACACAAACAATTATCACTAGACCCCTTCTGGTTACCCTCACCGATTCCACTTTACCCAACGCTCTTTTCACCCATCTTGAAACCACAAATGGATCAGCCAAAAGGCAAGGCTCCACTTTTTCCAAAAACTTCACTCCTACTGTCAAAGACTCATCTTCATCCTGACCCTCTGTGCAATCCCCGGGCTCCGAGTACTTCACCACACCTTCCACCTCCGATACTTCACCCTCATTCACTTCCATTTCTCCTCCTGTCTTCAGTTCACTTTCCTTACATTTCCTACCATTCTTTTTTTATACTGGCCCCCCGTGGGAAACGAACCCACAACACTGGCGTTGCAAACGCCGTGCTCTATCAACTGAGCTACATCCCTGCCGGCCATTCCCTCCCCTACCCTGGACGACGCTGGGCCAATTGTGCGCCGCCCATGAGCCTGGATTCGAACCAGGATCTCTAGTGGCACAGTTAGCACTGCGATGCAGTGCCTTAGACCACTGCGCCACCCAGGTATACGTTTCCTTATGATAATACTGCACTTCTCCTGACATACATCTGTTTCTTGCTTTCTCAATGGACTCCATTTACATTCCTACACGTATTCATTGCGCTTTCCATAAAGTATGAGCAATAAACTTCGGTCCTTCTTCGCTACCTGGGCGTCCTTTATTCGAGCTCTCCGCACCAAATTCACACCTCCGTCCCAATCACCCGGGGCGTGGCTTACAGAGCGCTCTCTGAAATAAGCGCTCGTATCGATTCCACCAGATCAAGTTATATCGTCACACCGGTTTGATCACCTTAATAACACTGAAAAACACTGCACTGCAAGAGCAAACATATATTATAAGATGCCTGATGATCAACCTTTTTTATTGAATTTATTAATATAACACCATCTATGACGACAGGCTAATTTACATATACATTTACATTTTAGTCATTAAGCAGACGCTCTTATCCAGAGCGACTTAAAGTTAGTGAGTGCATACATTTTCATACATAGCATTAGGAATTGGAATACTAGTAATTTAATAGGATCACTATGCCAATTTCCATCTTCAGTCCCTGGCTGGCTGGTAACGTTTCAAAACAGTGATTACATTATAGCAAATTACAGACAGTTACATTGTCAACACGTTAATTATACAATGCTCAAACAAACATACAAACAAGGTACCTATTATACAAACAAGACACCTACCTACATGCAGAAATCTATCAACTCCACGCAAAACGCAGATTTGAATTTTCCGGTTGATTTGCTTTTGACCGGTCTGTCATACCGTAGCAAGAAACATGGCGGCTGCTGCGCTCGTTAGCCGTCCTGCGAGTGTCCTTCCCAGGATTTCTAGTGAGTAACACCAAAACATGCAATTTTAGAATATATAAATGCCCTGATAACTGCACTGTTGAGAGAAAGTGGAAAGAATCATGTTTAGCCTGAACACAGGATCGTTTTTAAGCGACATTGCAACCCTCTGTGACCCTGTTTGTGCTATGACCTAGCTAAGTTAGCGAGCTAGCTAGGTAACTAACAGTAGCCGGTTAGCTAACTAACGCTTGCCGACGAATACGACTAACTAGGTAGCGCTCTATTTTCTAGCACCATGTCATTTGCAAACAAGTAAAAAGCTATGTTCCTGACAGTCCTGTATATCCATTTTGGCAGTCATTACCAATTTCTAAAGTTATTTGCATCACTTTCACTGGATTAACACCACGGCCAAACAGTTAGCTAGCTATCTCTCAATTTACCTAGTTAGTTAGCCAGCTAGCTAACGTTAGCTAGCTAGTTCGTCTAGATAGACAGTGGTTGTCAATATGCATGCCAGGTAATGTCTGCTGTTTACTGTGGTACCTAGTTAGTGGACCTTCGTTGTATCCCAGTGACCAATACTAAGGTTAGTTAAAAGTAGCTTTGGGACGCAACATCGGTAGTCTGTGTATTGGTTGGGCTCCCTGAGTTGTGTATCATATTGCTGTTGAGTTAGACAACGGGCTGCCATTAAACCACGCACTTCACGCGAGAAATCTACCACTGTTTACACAGCAGGAATATGGTGAGGGTCACGTTTCACTTTACGTCTGGTAAGTAGACTTCCTAGAGATTATACATATGCCTTTGTTGACAGGAAGCATTTTTTTAGGTGTAGCCGGCTATATTCTGGTAGGGTTGTTTTCCGTCGCCACCCACCAGAAGGATTCACAACTCAGGAAGTCCAACTGATACAGACTCCCGATGTTGTGTCCCAAAACTAGTTAAAAGATCTGTTTGTGGCATCCCGAGTGGCGCAGCAGTCTAAGGCACTGCATTGTCACTACAGACCCAGGTTTGATCCCAGGCTGTGTCACAGCCGGCCAGGTTAGGGAAAGTTTTGGCCAGCCGGGATTTCCTTATCCCGTCGCGCTCTAGCGACTCCTTGTGGCGGGCCGGGAGCCTGCAAGCTGACTTCGGTCGCCAGCTGGACGGTGTTTCCTCCGACACATTGGTGCGGCTGGCTTCCGGGTTAAGCAAGCAGTGTGTCAAGAAGCAGCGCTGCTTGGCAGGGTCGTGTTTCGGAGGACGCATGGCTCTTGAATTTCGCCTCTCCCAAGTCCGTAGGGGAGTTGCAGCGATGGGAACAAGACTGTAACTACCAATTGGATATCACAAAATTGGGGAGGCAAAAAAAAAAAAATCTGTTTGTGATCTCTGGCAACATCGCTAACTAGGCCTATGTTTTTGATTGGTTGACAATTTCTGATTTGGGGAATTTGACTACAGCATCCTCTGCACTGCTCCCTGCAGGTTCCTGCTCCCCTGTTGTGCTGTCAGCCATCCCTGTGACAGTCCAGCAGAGGAAGGTCCACCATGCTGTCATCCCCAGAGGGAAAGGGGGCCGCTCCTCCTCCAGTGGGGTAGCAGCCACAGTCTTCGGAGCCACCGGCTTCCTGGGCAGATATGTTGTCAACCGCCTGGGTAAGTTTCACAATCATCAGTCCCAAAGGCTTCACATGATAACCTTTCAAATGACATGGCAGCTCTGTGGTCCTCTTCTACTTATGTCGTATGTTTCTATGTGATTGTGAAGGATGCCTTCATTTGTTTGGTTATGTGGCAATCCTTTTTGGATACACTGTAGTGACTATATACAAGGGTTTCCTATGGGGCAGTTATGTGTTTGTTGACCTGTCAGGTGGTTTTGCAGGTCGTATGGGTTCTCAGATTGTGATTCCTCACCGGTGTGACCAGTATGACCTCATGTACCTCAGGCCCATGGGGGATCTCGGCCAGATCATCTTTATGGTGAGAGAAATACTATTTATCGGATGTGACGTTTCAAACCATTTCACTTTGAAGTCCCTTAATCTCTTCATCTGTTAGCTAAGTGTTGTTTTTTCTCATGCCAAGTTATGCCACGCCTCATATGTTCCCCTCCACCTTGCTTTATTTCAGGAGTGGGATGCCAGGAACAAGGATTCTATCAGAGAAGCATTGGCGCACTCCAATGTGGTTATCAACTTGGTGGGACGAGAGTGGGAGACGAAGTATGGCCCAAACTAGACTTTTTAGAAAAATACATTGTTCCTAAAAAGAACCCACTGGTGGTGAACATTCACATAAAGAGTTGCTCCATCAATATATGAATCTCCCTACTTTTAACTACACCAGTGAGGCTTGACTTACTCCCTAGTGGAGCAAAGGACCTCAATAGTGCTTCCACCATTAGGTACACTTATTTTACAGCTTTCTGCTAAATGTTTGATGTACTTGGCTGTACTCCGTGTTCTGTTCTTCCTCTTTCTGTTTATAAAGGAATTATCCCTTTGAGGACACCTACGTGAGCATCCCTCAGCAGATTGCCAAGGCCACCAGGGAGGCAGGCATCACAAAGCTGATCCACATATCTCACCTCAATGCTGACATCCGCAGCCCCTCCAAATACCTTAGGAATAAGGTACTGGCCAATGCAGGGCTTGGTTGAACTCTTTCAGTGTCACTTGAACATATTTCATTTTAGTTTCAAAAATATTTATTTGCCTGATATGTGTAACAATTATGAAAATGCAGACGGTTGAAAATCGGTAAAGCTTGACATTTGGTTTAATATGTCATTATGAAGTAATAATGTGTAATGTGTGTGATATTACCTTGCAGGCAGTAGGTGAGACGGCAGTGAGAGAAGAGTTCCCTGATGCCATCATCATGAAGCCCGCTGAGATGTTTGGAAGGGAAGACAGATTCTTCAACCATTTTGCCAGTGAGTTAGCAGAGCATAGAGTTAATTTCCGTGTGGCCCAGTGTAAAAACTGTTAAAAAGTGAAATTATCTTTTATTTGTGACACTAAGCAGACCGTGTCAATATTTGTGGGATCATGTTGGCATAATTACAGTCTTCGTTGACTGTATAGGACTGCAAACTGTGGAGTGAGCTGTTTGTTGCATGGTTGAACACTTGAATTTGCAGTGTGCGGAATTTAAGTCAAAATAAAGATTTGTTTAAGGTCATCTAACAGCTCCAATTGGTCTTGATGCGATGCTATTATCGTTTAAAACAGGATGAGTTCTCAGTCATTGTTTTGAATTCGTCCTCCCCCCATCCTTGTTGCACAGACATGCGTTGGTTTGGGAGTGCTGTGCCTCTCATCTCCATGGGGAAGAAGACAGTGAAGCAGCCTGTTCATGTGAGTGTGTCTGTCCTCGTGATGTCAGCTCTGTGTACCCTTGCTGCTTCTATGAGCCCAGTTACTCAACAGACTCACTCTGCTTCGGCTCTTCTCAGGTGGTGGATGTGGCAAAGGCTATCATCAGCGCCATCAAAGACCCTGATGCTAATGGCAAGACATATGCACTAGTCGGGTAAGGACTTGATATGGGCTTGACTTTTGTCAATTTTTTTAGGAATGTGTCAATTGAAATTAATCAGTTCAGGAAATTAAGTAAAATTCAATCCATTGATTAGAAACTGTTCATTATCAGTGAATACAAGGTTAACCTAGTATAAATCATGAAAACGATTGTTCATCTCATTGTTGAGTTGCTCTTTGTGTGCCATGGGTTTGTATCTTGTTCTCATCCAGGGATGGGACTTTGCTTGAATCTAAGATAAAATAGATGATTGTGTAATGGCCGTTTCATTCTCATACATGCAGTACATTATTTTAAAAGGTCAGTAGCAACCAACCTGTTTGTCAGCCATTTGGTTAGGTTTGTTTTGTTTTTCTACCACACAGACCTAACCGTTATCTCCTTCATGATCTGGTGGAGTACGTGTATGCTGTGGCACACAGGCCCTTTGTGCCCTACCCCTTCCCACGCCCTCTCTATCAGTGAGTATGCACCCACTGCTGGTTCTGCATGGTAACCTCAATTAGCCTCAAAAGAACATGTACTGTATAGGCTGTCTGATGAGGTTGTTTGCCAAGCTGTTAGTTGTTTAGAACACATAGCCTCACGCTAGACCAGTGGGTGTGAGATGGCAAGGCACAAGGAAGCTTGGTTGGTTTGTTTAAATGCAGTCCTTTCACATACTGTGTGATCAAAATGTCTTACCTTTGTGTCTGGTTTCAGTCTTGTTGCAAGTTTCTTTGCAATGAACCCATTCGAGCCTTGGACAACTCCTGACAAAGTAGATCGGGTAAGAAAATGCAACAAACAGCAAAGTATAAACCGCCTTGTAAAGCTTATTTTATTTTACACAAATGAATGTCTTATGATGGATTTGTGTGATGACATGAATATGTTTGTTCCAGTTCCACACCACAGATATGAAGTATCCAGGGCTTCCTGGCTTGGAGGACCTGGGCATCGTCCCTGCCTCCGTAGAGCAGAAGGCCATCGAGATCCTGCGTCGCCACCGCCGCTTCCGCTTCCTGGAGGCTGAGCTGGCCGATACCAAGCCGGCCAAGACAGTTAACTATTGAGTAGCTCGTCTATCTGCCCAGCACCACCACCATAACCACAGGCTGATCCTCCTATACAGCTGTGCTGTCTTCTTTTACAAATATTCTGTACATAAATAAAAGATAGTCTAAAACTATTTTGTTGTTATGACTGTTTTTATTCTTGAATGGATTCCATGGAGCCATTAAAACAACATTCATTGTGTAGCAAAAAACACTGTCACCTCACTTTAGCTGAGAGGGGTAGGAAAGTTATCTACAAGTCAATATGTATCCCATGTACAGTATATTGCATTGGGGGCTATGGAGTGGGTGGAGAACGAAGTGCTGCTGGATATGTAGGACACTCCCCCTCTGAAACTAACTATTTGGTTAGTAGAGACCCTACTGAGTATTTCCAACCCCACTTTAGCTGAGACAGAAAAGTTCTCTACAAGCCAATATGTATCCCATGTACAGTCTATTACAATGTAATCACACACAAAAAAAGGTCACATGCGCCAAATAGAACAGGTGTAGACTTCACCGTGAAATGCTTACTTACGAGCCCTTTCCCAACAATGTGCAGTAGTACGAGGTAACAGTGACTAGGCAATCAGGAATGATAAAACAGTAGTAGCAGCAGCGTGTGTGTATTGGAGTGTCAGTGTAGTATGTGTGTGGGTAGAGTCCAGTGAGTGTGCATAGAGCCAGTGCAAAAACAATATTGCATTGGGGGCGGAGTGAAAAGCAGGCCGGCCCCTCAAAAGCTAAACATATTTGCTTAGTAGAGACCCTACTGAGTATTTTACACCCCACTTTAGCTGAGACAGGTAGAACAATTCTCTCTACAGCCCAATATTCTCAACATACCAGTGTCAACATTGTATTTTTTAATTATTGCTTTTAAAACCATATGTTTTTTATTTTCATAAATTGCTTATTGCCTTTTCTTGTTGGCACAATAAAAGGGCAATTGATTACAATTCAATACCTTTTGAACGAATTATCCACATTGCAAAGGTTTCTTTATTACCATACAAAGGTGACGTAATTTGTGTCGCTGGCAGAATACTAGTCTAATACCCGAAAGGATCGGAAAGCCAGGTATCCTAGCAACGAATGTTTGCAGAGTGCATTCGCAGCATAGTCCTTTGATTCTCACTGCAGCGAGACAGTACGGGAAAACCTAATTACAAGATAGGAAAATGTACAATATAGAATTACTTTCGGACCGCATTGCTGCTGCTAGTTTGGAGAGGAGGCGCAATAGAGAGACGGACCGTCAAGATAGGATTTTCAATGCTAAAGTTAGAACAATTGGGGTAAATTATTGCAACTTGGCTTGCAACTTTGTAACCGGCTGTGACATCAGTCCATCCATGTTAGTTGTAAAGCCATTTTGTCACAATTTTCTCTTACTCACAGATAGATAAAGTGGCTCTTGAATCCCAAGTGAATGAAAGAAAGAAAAAAGAGGAGGCAGAGGCAGAGTCACTAAAAGCACATGGTAAGTGCAATAAAATACAGTATGGGAGGACATTTTTATATCTGGCAAAAACACAATAAAGGCCTAAGGTGTTTTAATTCAAGGTGATGATAGGCTCGTTGGTTAAGTCCTGACTGAGCTCTATAAGCTTATATTCATAAGATTCAATGGAACTGTTTAGGAGCTAGTGTCATAGGCTATGTCTGAAGAATGCATGCCCTCTAGCTGCAGATGCGGTGTGTAATGACAAGGCCGCCTGTCTACTTGATCAACGCCAACTCAAGGATGAGCGTCTGCTGCAGGGAGCCATAGAGGACTTCCGGCTGAACTTCCAGCCGCGGTGGAGCCGACGAGAGTATGACTTAAGCAACCCGGACAAAGTTAAGAATCAGGACAGGATCCAGATGCTGCCGGGGCTTGTGGGTGAAGACCCAGACAGCCAGGGGAGGCTGAAGAAGCAGCAGGAGCAGCTCAGAGAGTGGTCCGTCCAGCAGCAACATGAGCTGGCCACAGCACGACACCAGCAGAGACTGGAAGGTAGGAAACAACCCAACACAAACGGTCCTGTCGCTAGACTCTCATACATTCACACTGCCTCATCTCAAACACTGTTTCTGCCTCACCACTGCAGAGCACCAGTATGACCAGGATGTAGTGGCCCTGGACTTCAAAGCTCTCCAGCTCCAGAAGATCGAGGAGGAGAGGAGGAGAGCCGCAGCCCTGGCTACAAAGGATTTCAATCTGGCAAAGGTGAGTCATTATACTGATGCTAAACCAGGTGTGGTTGTCAAACTGGCAAAGGTGCATGATTAGAATTGATAGTACAGTAGCCTTCTCTAACCAGGTGTGGCAGTCATTCCTGCTTTTTGTATGTAGTGGAACCGGACATCCTTCTGTCAAAATATGTTTACTGTGTGACATTGTCTCTGTATCTGTTTGTAGGCAGCAGAGAATGCAGAGAAGCGGTGGAAGGAGTGGCAGCAGGAGGAGGAGGACAACAGGACAGACATCCTAAACCAGCTGCAGGGGGAGCTGCTGAGTGAGAGCCAGGAGCAGGGCATCAGTGTGCTGGGTCTACCCCGCCTCAGGCCTGACAGCTGCAAGGGCCTCACAAACGAGCAGCTGCAGCACATCATCGACTGCCATCAGCAACAGATCGAGGAGAAGAGGGTACATCTGCCACATCTATCTGTCTGTCTCTTTTGCCTGTTTTGGGATGTCTGCGTTGAGCGGTCAGAGATATTTTCATTTGACAACTAAACACTTCTAAAAGAGGAAATGGGGTGGATAGCAACAACCATGAATGCAGACCAGGTTTTGGGTCAATTCAGGAATTAAAATGAAATTCCAATTCCTATTTTTTCTCATAGAGAAGCATCGAATGGAATGAACCTCTCTCTTCACGTTTGGTTGTGCAGGCTGAGCAGCAGCAGGAGGAGGTCCACCAGGACCGGTGCTGTGTGGCCTCAGCTCACACCGCCCTACTACTGGAGAGACAGCAGGCCCGCATCAACAAGCAGCTCCGTCGCACCCTGGATAACACCAACACACAGCTGGCTGAGGCCCACCATGAACAGTAAGAAGCTTTCCATATGATTAGGTTTAGACACATGGACACACCTGTACACCTTTTGATTTGTTTGTTGTTTTCAGTCCATTCATGTGCAGTATCATTCATATGTTTGATGTCAGTCATTTTATTTTGAATTGTGAATTAAATTGGGCAGAAGAAACTGTCACCAACCGGATTAGCACAGTTAATGGACAGAACAAATCATCAACTAGAGTGTGCTGACCTGCCCATAAATAGACAACATACAGTATCAAATGCCTACAGTTTTGTTGTTGATATCAGTTATAGACAAATGCATTTTTCTTCTCTTTCCAGGAAAAAGTACTTGGATAATGTGTACACTAACATCCCAGATGACAGTTACTTCTCCCAGTTCAACACCAGCAGTCGATAAAGGTTGACAGGGCCTAACTATGTCGTGCACTATTGGAGAGATACGTTTCTTGTCTATGGAAATAAATTGAATTGGCATAATAAATGATTTGTAACACATCAAAACGTTTTCACTACTTACAAAATACAATCAAAAATCTTAATAGAAAATTGGGTGGCCATGCTTAAGGCTGCCTACTGTTCTACATTAATTTGTCATAATGTGTATGTGCCTAATCAGAATGATAAAGTGTGTACCTTGTTAAAATAGGTATAATGAATGAAATGTAGCTAATTTCCAGTCTAAATCTGTAAATAAAAAAAATAAAAAATAATGACCATGTTCTCCATTAAATACCATAACAAAATCCTATTTGCTTTCTTAAATACATTACCGGCTGCCAACACAGTTAAATGAATAAAAGATGTGGTCCTCTGTAGCTCAGCTGGTAGAGCACGGCGCTTGTAACGCCATGGTAGTGGGTTCGATCCCCGGGACCACCCATACACAAAAATGTATGCACGCATGACTGTAAGTCGCTTTGGATAAAAGCGTCTGCTAAATGGCATATTATTATTATTATTAGCTGGTCAGTTTATACAGTGTAAGCATTTTCACACAGTGCACTATATGCCACTATTGCCATATAGAGCCTCCCTGAATTCGCAAATAAAGTGCAAATACAATCCTCTGCAACTGAATTGTAAAAAAAAAAAAAAAAATGCCTTTGTATGAAAACAAACAGCGTCCTTTCATGACTACTTGACTAGTGAATTCAGCTCTCCTGTCAGGCGACTCCATTTTGGGGGAGCTGACAGCAGTTTGGTCTGCTTTTTTTGCAGGAGTGTTATACAAACTATATCCACTGGAGGGCGATATGAGCTCGTTCTCTTTTTCTTCTCAAACCTAATTTGCCAAACCGTCTACAGCTCCTTATTCATAGAAAATAATGTTTAAATAACAACTGCGTCCTTTCCCTAGTCCTAATTTTGAACAACATTTCTACTTGTGTTTCCGTTTGTCATTTGGGAACACCCTGCCAAATATCCCTTCCCTTCATATGGTAACACTTATGGGGCACAAGCAACAGGCTCAAGGTCTAAGGTGATGCTTCTGTCACAGTCAGCTTCCAAATGACCACTCCTCTGCCCCAGGCCTCTGCTCCAGGCCTCTGCCCCAGGCCTCTGCTCCAGGCCTCTGCCCCAGGCCTCTGCTCCAGCAGGTCTCTATTGTGAGTTCTCTGAGACAAATGTGTACCATTTTCTCTGCCACAAGGTCAAGGCTTTCTCCTTCAGCTGTGGAGACATTTCGTTTGCAACGCCAGGGTTGTGGGTTCGATTCCCACGTGGGGCCAGTATGAAAATGTATGCACTCACAAACTGTAAGTCGCTCTGGATAAGAGCGTCTGCTAAATTACTAAAATGTAAATGTAAAAATGAGACAGAGAGCTGTACCTGGAACATTTGTCTCCTGAGTGGCGCAGTGGTCTAAGGCACTGCATCGCAGTGCTAACTGTGCCACTAGAGATCCTGGTTCGAATCCAGGTTCTGTCGCAGCCGGCCGCGACCAGGAGACTCATGGGCGGCGCACAATTGGCCCAGCGTCGTCCAGGGTAGGGGAGGGAATGGCCGGCAGGGATTTAGCTCAGTTGATAGAGCATGGCGTTTGCAACGCCAGGGTTGTGGGTTCGATTCCCACGGGGGGCCAGTATAAAAAATAAAATAAAAAAGGTATTCACTAACTGTAAGTCGCTCTGGATAAGAGCGTCTGCTAAATGACTAACCCTGCCCTACCTTGTTTGGTGATAGGACACACCTCCAACACGTTTAACGCCACCCCTCTCTTCCTAAAGAGCTCCTAGGCCACCGGGTGGCGCAGCAGGGCAAAGCCCTGGCCTAAGCAAGACGTGTTGAACAGTAGAGCATCCAGCAGGTTCCCATCCATATCAGTGCGGTCTTCATCTGCGAATGGCAGTGAGGTCAATCAATGATGCCATCAATGTAGATTGTAGTAATCACTTATCTGTGCTGTACAGACTTCATTCTCAACAACACAAAATACTACAAGAGATCTATTGGCTTATACTGTAACAGACTTATTACATGAGTTTAGATGAGGTGTTAGGGTTCATGTGCTCACCAGTATCTCCTGAATGGAAGAAGAAGGGAAGGTTGACTCTTCTCTCGCCTGGCAGAGACAAAGCCTCCTTGAAGTACCAGAGGGTCTTCCACCTAATACCAGAAGAGAACATCAGACACGTCAACAACACCCTGCACAACCTATACCTATTTAGTAATAAACCTAGTAATGAAAGTAATTAATAAATGAAGTCCATATACATCTTAATTTATTTCCTAAGAGAGATGAGACAATTTTGAGGAGTCTTGTGACTAAGGATGTACCTACCAAGTCAAATCCAGCCATGATCTCTGGAAAGGATTTCTGTAGGTTCATTGCCTCCTCCACTGTGTTCAATGCTAGGCCACATTCAGCCCCCTGAGACAAACACATATTCACAAAGTACACAAAGTACATTCCATCTCGACATTAAAGTGGCATGTGATTTGTTCTTCCCATTCTTACTTTTATTCTGTATTTTTTATAAACTAATCCATGTACAACTGTTAAAGGGCCCACGATTCTAATTCCATCTTTACACTGATCATTTGCATCTCCTGCATAGTCACCTGTGCACAGTGAAGATGACCCGAGCTCCCAGGAAGTCTGGGTGTTCTGACACAAACTGCCTGGTCTCCCAGGAAGTCTGGGTGTTCTGACACAAACTGCCTGGTCTCCCAGGAAGTCTGGGTGTTCTGACACAAACTGCCTGGTCTCCCAGGAAGTCTGGGTGTTCTGACACAAACTGCCTGGTCTCGTCCTGATAGGTCTTGAGGCCCCAGGCACTGTCATGTGTGCCCCCATCTGGCTCGTATGTCTGTGCATCAGTAATAAACATGTAAGAATGACAATGTATTTTATGTGACAATACAGTTTGGTTACACCTTGAAAATGATTGGTCAACTCTATCAACTCAATCTTTTCTATGTTTGGAATGATCCTAACAACTTAATCAATCACAAATAAAGTAATATAACCCGGCTCGAACAATATACATGCATCTGTGTGTGTTGTTTACATCTTGAATACAGTAAGCGTAGGTGACTAGTCCTCAAGCCATAATGAAGGCCTGCTCAAACCTCTTCCAAACAACATCTTGGCTGAGTTATGCGGCCTCTGGATCTTCAGTGGAGAGCATGAGGTTGCGGATGAGGCTGCACAGACGGAGAGGACCAGATTCAATGGAGAGTGCATGAAATAGGAAAGATATGGGTCAAATACTAAAATCAATTGCGTATGTATTCCCCCAGGGAGATACTTGTGTGAGTAGACATGGTATGACCATGTCATATAAATGACATCAACTCAGCAAAAAAAGAAACTTCCCTTTTTCAGGACCCTGTCTTTCAAAGATAATTCATAAAAATCAAAATAACTTCACAGATCTTCATTGTAAAGGGTTTGCACTGTTTCCCATGCTTGTTCAATGAACCATAAACAATTAATGAACATGCACCTGTGGAACGGTCGTTAAGACACTAACAGCTTACAGACGGTAGGCAATTAAGGTCACAGTTATTAAAACTTATGACACTAAAGAGGCCTTTCTACTCACCAAAAGAAAGATGCCCAGGGTCCCTGCTCATCTGCGTGAACGTGCCTTAGGCATGCTGCAAGGAGGCATGAGGACTGCAGATGTGGCCAGGGCAATAAATTGCAATGTCCATACTGTGAGACGCCTAAGACAGCGCTACAGGGAGACAGGACAGACAGCTGATCATCCTCGCAGTGGCAGACCACGTTTAGCAACACCTGCACAGGATCGGTACATCCGAACATCACACCTGCGGAACAGGTACAGGATGACAACAACAACACCCCGAGTTACACCAGGAACGCACAATCCCTCCATCAGTGCTCTGACTGTCCGCAATAGGCTGAGAGAGGCTGGACTGAGGGCTTGTAGGCCTGTTGTAAGGCAGGTCCTCACCAGACATCATCGGCAACAACGTTGCCTATGGGCACAAACCCACTGTCGCTGGACCAGACAGGACTGGCAAAAAGTGCCCTTCACTGACGAGTCGCGGTTTTGTCTCACCAGGGGTGATGGTCGGATTCGCGTTTATCGTCGAAGGAATGAGCGTTACACAGAGGCCTGTACTCTGGAGCGGGATCGATTTGGAGGTGGAGGGTCCGTCATGGTCTGGGGCGGTGTGTCACAGCATCATCGGACTGAGCTTGTTGTCAATGCAGGCAATCTCAACACTGTGCGTTACAGGGAAGACATCCTCCTCCCTCATGTGGTACCCTTCCTGCAGGCTCATCCTGACCCTCCAGCATGACAATGCCACCAGCCATACTGCTCGTTCTGTGTGTGATTTCCTGCAAGACAGGAATGTCAGTGTTCTGCCATGGCCAGCGAAGAGCCCGGATCTCAATCCCATTGAACACGTCTGGGACCTGTTGAATCGGAGGGTGAGGGCTAGGGCCATTCCCCCCAGAAATGTCCGGGAACTTGCAGGTTCCTTGGTGGAAGAGTGGGGTAACATCTCACAGCAAGAACTGGTATGTGGACACCTGCTCGTCGAACATATCATTCAAAAATCATGGGCATTAATATGGAGTTGGTCCCCCCTTTGCTGTGATAACAGCCTCCACTCTTCTGGGAAGGCTTTCCACTAGATGTTGGAACATTGGGACTTGCTTCCATTCAGCCACAAGAGAATTAGTGAGTTCGGGCACTGATGTTGGGTGATTAGGCCTGGCTCGCAGTTGGCGTTCCAATTCATCCCAAAGGTGTTCGATGGGGTTGAGGTCAAGGCTCTGTCCAGGCCAGTCAAGTTCTTCCACACCGATCTCGACAAACCATTTCTGTATGGACCTCGCTTTGTGCACGGGGGCATTGTCATGCTGAAACAGGAAAGGGCCTTCCCCAAACTGTTGCCACAAAGTTAGAAGCACAGAATTGTCTAGAATGGCATTGTATGCTGTAGCATTAAGATTTCCCTTCACTAGAACTAAGGGGCCTAGCCTGAAACATGAAAAACAGCCCCAAACCATCATTCCTCCTCCACTAAACTTTACAGTTGGCACAATGCATTCGGGCAGGTAGCGTTCTCTTGGCATCCGCCAAACCCAGATTAGTCCGTTGGACTGCCAGATGGTGAAGCGTCATTCATCACTCCAGAGAACGTATTACCACTCCTGCAGAGTCCAATGGCGGCGAGCTTTACACCACTCCAGCCGACGCTTGGCATTGTGCATGGTGATCTTAGGCTTGTGTGTGGCTGCTCGGCAATGGAAACACATTTCATGAAGCTTCGGACGAACAGTTCTTAAAATAATAAAATAAAATGGTAGGGGTCCATTTGGGATCATGTGTAGCTTTGGGCATCCTCTGCGGTAGGGTGTAGATGGGGCTGCACTGGATGAGGGGCTTTGCCTCGAAGAAGTGCAAGGCAGGAGGGTAGTCTGAGCTCTTCATCTCCTGCTCCTTTGTGCAGCTGTGCACTGAGTCACAGTAGTGCCCATGTCAGCAGCAGTCTGCCCCCTGTCTGCTGGGAGGCCTCCTGCTGCATCAGAGACTCTGAGCCTAGGGTCAGGGCTGCACCAGCACAGGGTCAACCAGCACAGCAAGACTGACACCACAGCAACTTGGTGGCTCTCTGGCCAGCACAGCATGGTCAAGGTGTGGCCAATCAATGTTGGTCAACACTGAATAAAAAAGCTAAAAGGATAAATACAAATATGGTGAGAGAAGGTAATCTAGTGGGAAAACAAGATCAACAGAGCTTGTCCACTGGGCACACGGGTTGAATCAACGTTGTTTCCACATAATTTCAATGAAATTACGTTGAACCAACATGGAATAGACGTTGAATTGATGTCTGTGCCCAGTGGATGGTGTTTAGTGTAGGCTTACTGCACCTGTTTGCAGAACATCCACTTCCTCATTATCCCTTTCTTATGCTTGCTTCCTCAGAACATTTTGTTTCTCTTGAAAAAAGTCTCAACCAATAGCTTACAGAGGTCTATTTCCCACAAGCATCAAAGCTCAAAGGCTACTAAGGCTGCATTTACATCTGAATTTGATACCTACATGCTCAATTAATTTAGTTAATATACAGTACCAGTCTTTATTTTTACTATTTTCTACATTGTAGAATAATAGTGAAGACATCAAAACTATGAAATAACACATCTGGAATCATGTAGTAACCAAAAAATTGTATATTTGAGATTTGAGATTCTTCAAATAGCCACCCTTTCTTTGCCTTGATGACAGCTTTGCACACTCTTGGCATTTATAATGTTTTTCCCCCTCATCAATACCCCATAATGACAAAACAAAAACATTTTTGGCAAATTTATAAAAAAAATTAAAACTGAAATATAAGCATTCAGACCCTTTACTCAGTACTTTGTTGAAGCACCTTTGGCAGTGATTACAGCCTCAAGTCTTCTTGAGTATGTGTGTACTGTGTGTTTCCGTAGCTTTTTTCTTAGAGGAAGCATATGCAATTAGATGACCTCTTAGTGTGGCTTTGGCAGAGTCTTTGTTGTTTTGTGTGTAGTTGTCTAGCCATGTAGTGACCAATGTATGGAATGCTTTGTTTGATAACATGGAGGTGTTGAATTTCCAGCTCTTTGACCTGGGAATGTTTTTACAGAGGGCAAAGCAGAGGCGGACAAAGGCGTGATCTGAAAGTGCTATGGGTCCGATTGTACAAGTGGCAGAATTTATGAAAATCTTTAGGATAAAAATGTAATCTATACGAGAGTAGGTGTTATGGACATTGGAGTAGTATTTATCCTAATCCATAGATGAGCCATTAGTCTCTCTCCAGGTATCTATCAGTCATAACTCTTTAGTAAGAGAGTTCAACATCTTTGCCGATCTAGGGTTTGGGGTGGGGACTTCAGGTGATTTGTCCAGAGTTAAGTTGAGGGTACAATTAAAATCTCCAGCCAGCACTCCAAAGGAAACAATTCTCATTGAACAGGGCTATCATTTTCGACATGAAAGCAGGAGTATCTGTGTTAGGAGCATATACAGTGCCTTCGGAAAGTATTCGACCCCTTGACTTTTTCCACATTTTGTTAGGTTACAGCCTTATTCTAAAATTGATTAAACTGTTTTTTTCCCCTTATCAATCTACACACTACCCCATAATGACAAAGCAAAAACAGGTTTTTAGAAAAGTTTGCTAATTTATAACAAAAAAAAAAACTGAAATATCACATTTACAGAAGTATTCAGACCCATTACTCAGTACTTTGTTGAAGCACCTTTGGCTGTGATTACAGCCTCGAGTCTTCTTGGGTATAACGCTACAAGCTTGGCACACCTGTATTTGGGGAGTTTCTCCCATTCTTCTCTGCAGATCCTCTCAAGCTCTGTCAGGTTGGATGGGGAGCGTCGCTGAATACAGTGAGGGAAAAAACTATTTGATCCCCTGCTGATTTTGTACGTTTGCCCACTGACACAGAAATGATCAGTCTATAATTTTAATGATAGGTTTATTTGAACAGTGAGAGACAGAATAACAACAAAAAAATCCAGAAAAACACATGTCAAAAATGTTATAATTGATTTGCATTTTCATGAGGGAAATAAGTATTTGACCCCCTCTCAATCAGAAAGATTTCTGGCTCACAGGTGTCTTTTATACAGGTAACGAGCTGAGATTAGGAGCACACTCTTAAAGGGAGTGCTCCTAATCTCATCTTGTTACCTGTATAAAAGACACCTGTCCACAGAAGCAATCAATCAATCAGATTCCAAACTCTCCACCATAACCAAGACCAAAGAGCTCTCCAAGGATGTCAGGGACAAGATTGTAGACCTACACAAGGCTGGAATGGGCTACAAGACCATCGCCAAGCAGCTTGGTGAGAAGGTGACAACAGTTGGTGCGATTATTCGCAAATGGAAGAAACACAAAAGAACTGTCAATCTCCCTCGGCCTGGGGCTCCATGCAAGATCTCACCTCGTGGAGTTGCAATGATCATGAGAACGGTGATGAATCAGCCCAGAACTACACAGGAGGATCTTGTCAATGATCTCAAGGCAGCTGGGACCATAGTCACCAAGAAAACAATTGGTAACACACTACGCCGTGAAGGACTGAAATCCTGCAGCGGGTCCCCCTGCTCAAGAAAGCACATATACAGGGCCGTCTGAAGTTTGCCAACGAACATCTGAATGATTCAGAGGAGAACTGGGTGAAATCGAGCTCTTTGGCATCAACTCAACTCGCCTTGTTTGGAGGAGGAGGAATGCTATCTATAACCCCAAGAACACCATCCCCACCGTCAAACATGGAAGTGGAAACATTATGCTTTGGGGGTGTTTTTCTGCTAAGGGGACAGGACGACTTCACCGCATCAAAGGGACGATGGACGGGGCCATGTACCGTCAAATCTTGGGTGAAAACCTCCTTACCCCAGCCAGTGCATTGAAAATGGGTCGTGGATGGGTATTCCAGCATGACAATGACCCAAAACACACGGCTAAGGCAACAAAGGAGTGGCTCAAGAAGAAGCACATTAAGGTCCTGGAGTGGCCTAGCCAGTCTCCAGACCTTAATCCCATAGAAAATCTGTGGAGGGAGCTGAAGGTTCGAGTTGCCAAACATCAGCCTCAAAACCTTAATGACTTGGAGAAGATCTGCAAAGAGTGGAACAAAATCCCTCCTGAGATGTCTGCAAACCTGGTGGCCAACTACAAGAAACGTCTGACCTCTGTGATTGCCAACAAGTACTAAGTCATGTTTTGCAGAGGGGTCAAATACTTATTTCCCTCATTAAAATGCAAATCAATTTATAACATTTTTGACATCGTTTTTCTGGATTTTTTGTTGTTATTCTGTCTCTCACTGTTCAAATAAACCTACCATTAAAATGATAGACTGATCATGTCTTTGTCAGTGGGCAAATGTACAAAATCAGCAGGGGATCAAATACTTTTTTCCCTCACTGTAACTATTTTCAGGTCTCTCCAGAGAAGTTAAATCGGATTCAAGTCCGGGCTCTGGCTGGGCCACTCAAGGACGTTCAGAGACTTGTCCCGAAGCCACTCCTGCGTTGTCTTGGCTGTGTGCTTAGGGTCGTTGTCCTGTTGGAAGGTGAACCTTCGCCCTAGTCTGAGGTCCTGAGCAGGTTTTCATCAAGGATCTCTCTGTACTTTGCTCCGTTCATCTTTCCCTTGATCCTTACTAGTCTCCCAGTCCCTGCTGCTGAAAAACATCCCCACAGTATGAAGCTGCCACCAACATGCTTCACCGTAGGGATGGTGGCAGATTTCCTCCAGATGTGATGCTTGGCATTCAGGCCAAAGAGTTCAATCTTGGTTTCATCAGACCAGAGAATCTTGTTTCTCATGGTCTGAGAGTATTTAGGTACCTCCAAGCGGGCTGTCATGTGCCTTTTACTGAGGAGTGGCTTCCGTCTGGCCACTCTACCATAAAGGCCTGATTGGTGGAGTACTGCAGAGATGGGTGTCCTTCTGGAAGGTTCTCCGATCTCCACAGAGGAACTCTGGAGCGCTGTCAGAGTGACCATCGGGTTCTTGGTCACCTCCCTGACCAAGGCCCTTCTTCCCCAATTGCTCAGTTTGGCCGGGCGGCCAGCTCTAGGAAGAGTCTTGGTGGTTCCAAACTTCTTCCGTTTAAGAATGATGGAGGCCATTGTGTTCTTGGGGACCTTCAATGCGGCAGAAATTTGTTGGTACCTTTTCGCAGATCTGTTCCTCGACACAATCCTGTCTCTGAGCTCTACAGACAATTCCTTCGACCTCATGGCTTGGTTTCTGCTCTGACATGCACTGTCAACTGTGGGACCTTACATAGACAGGTGTGTGCCTTTCCAAATCATGTCCAATCAATTGAATTTACCACAGGTGGACTCCAATCAATTTGTAGAAACATCTCAAGGATGATCAATGGAAACAGGATGCACCTGAGCTCAATTTCGAGTCTCATAGCAAAGGTCTGAATACTTATCTCTTTGTTATTATGGGGTATTGTGTGGAGATTGATGAGGATTTGTATCTATTTAATCCATTTTAGAATAAGGCTGTAAAATAACAAAATGAGGAAAAGGTGAAGGTGTCTGAATACTTTCTGAATGCACTGTATATGCTCTCTTAGGTAAATAAATGAAACTAGCTCCAGTAGGCTAATCTTTTTGAGCGTGAACTGTATTACTGTACTGTATTATATTGTATTATATGGACTGGAATTATGGACATCATTCAAACCATGATAAAGCAGGGAGAGAACATGCGATTCTGGTGCAGCACATGTGGCCTACAAAGTTACAAGTATAGGCTAGCATATGTATACCTTTCATAATATTTCCCCTAATGTTATTAGCCTACCTCCTCTTTCTTTCTCTATTGTTGCTTCATTCCTTCCTCGCTTTCAACAGTTAAATGAAATACGTTTCATTGTCCTTATCATCATCATTCTAAGGTGTATGTAAACTTCCAACTTCAACTGTATATTAATAATATCAGTGAATGATACAAAGTTCCATCTTGAATTGATGAGTAGACCTACCTGCGGCAGGACAGCAGCTTAAGCTTAAAGCTACAGTCTGGGATCTGGGAATAATGGTAATTTGAATTTATTGAACCATTGATTCTATTCTTGGATAATATAATGTATAAATGTACACC